GAGATGGGAGAGATGGGGAGGAGAAAAGGAAGAGGAAGAGAGAGATGGGGAGAAGAAGAGGAGGGAGGAGAAGAAAAGGAAGAGGAGTAGGGAAGAGGGAGATGGGAGAGGGGGGGGAAGAGGAGGGAGGAGGAGAAAAGGAAGAGGAGTAGGGAGTAGAGGAAGAGGAAGAGGGAGATGTGAGAGGTGGGGAGAAGAAGAGGAGGGAGGAGGAGAAAAGGAAGAGGAGATGGGGGAAGGGGAGGTGGGGAGAAGAGGAGGAAGGGGAAGTGGGAGGAGGTAGGGGAGAAAAGGAAGAGGGGTTGGGAGTAGAAGGAAGAGGGAGATATGAGAGGTGGGGAGAAGAAGAGGGAGTTGAAGTGGGAGGAGGTAGAGGAGAAGAGGAAGGGGAGTAGGGAGTAGAGGAAGAGGGAGATGTGGGAAGCGGGGGAAGAGGAAGGGAGAGGAGGAGGAGGTAAGGGGGAAAAGGAAGAGGAGGTGGGAGATGAGGGAGGTGGGAGGAGAGGAGGAAGAGAAAGTGGGAGTAGGTAGAGGAGCAGAGGAAGGGGGAGGTAGTAGGAGTAGAGGAAGAGGGAGATGGAAAAGGAAGAAGAGGAATAGGAAGAAGAGAAGGCTGAATAGCAAGAGGTGAGAGGAGGAAAGGGGAATGGAGAGGAGGAGGAGGAAGTAGGAGAGTGAAGAGATGGGGAGAACTGGAAGAGGAGATGGAGAGGAGAGAAATTACGGGAGAAATGAGAAGTGAAGAGGTGGGGGAGAAGAGGAAGCGGAGGGGGTGAAAAGGGAAAGAGGAAGAGGAAAGGGAGATGGAAGAAGAAGGGGAGGGGATGGGGAGAAGAGGAGGAGTTAGGGGAGAAGAGGAGATGGGGAGATGAAGAAAAGGGAGGTGAGGGGAGAGAAGAGAGAATGAGAAAAAGGTTGGGGAGAAGAGGCAGATAATGAGTAGGTGGGAAGAAGAGGAGGAATAGGAGATGAAGGAGAAGGAAACGAGAAAAAAAAAGATGGAGAAATAGATGAAGACAGTACAAAAGGATAATAAATATATAAGGATAATAAATAGATAAGGATAATAATATATAAGGATAATAGATATATAAGGACGAAGGAGTAGGAGGAGAAAAAGATTATGAAGTTATAGATTAGGAAAGATAGGAAATGAGATGGATGAGAAAGGGAAAATGGAGACGAAGATGAGAGAGAAGCAGAAGATAAAGGAGGGAAAGGGGGGAAATGAAGACGAAGAGGTAGAGAAGGCAGAAGATAAAGGAAGGAAAGAAATAATGAACGATTATATCTACGTTTATATATCTACGTAGATATTCACTTACCATGGTAATCATTATCACGCCATTGGTATTACTAGTGTTATCTCTATCACTGTTATTATTTCCATTTTGGCGTTGTTTGACATTAGAGTTTACTATTGCTTTCGTTATGTTCTTTATTGCTGTCATTAATCTTATCATTATTGCAGTTATTAGAATCAGCGTTAGTATTATCATAGCTCGTTCATGTTCTCCAATGTCGCATAAAACGGGTGAATGAATTGGTAAAGATATTGAAATTCGAAATATTACCAGCAGTAATCTACAAAAATATGGTGAAAAAAGTGAATGAAAATAAATTGATATGTCTACCCTCCTCGTGATCGATTTTTTTTCGATATCATTGCTTACGACTGCGATGGCTGTAGGAAACGGTGTGTATGTTCCTTAGATTTTTTTCTCTCTCTCGCTCTCTGTCTCTCTCTGCCTCTCTCTCTCTCTCTCTCTCTCTCTCTCTCCTCTCTCTCTCTCTCTATATATATATATATATATATATATATATATATATATATATATATCATTTCTCTAACTTTCTCTCGCCCTCTCTATCTAGCTATTTATCAATCTATCTATCTATCTCAATTTCACTTTTCCTCCTCTCTCTTTCTCTCTCTCTCTCTCTCTCTCTCTCTCTCCTCTCTCTCTCTCTCTCTCTCTCTCTCTCTCCTCTCTTCTCTCTCTCTCTGTATGTGTGTGTGTGTGTGTGTGTGTGTGTGTGTGTGTGTGTGTGTGTGTGTGTGAAATAAGCTGTGTGTTGGGGGGGGGGGGAATAAGTTGTATGTGTGTGTATGTGTGAAATAAGCTGTGTGTGTGTGTGTGTTGTGTGTGTGTGTGTATGTTGTTGTGTGCTGTATGTGTCTGCGTGTGTGCGAAACAAGGACAAAGATGTAGCGGAACTGCAGTGTCCCCTTTTTTATCCCAGAGTGAAATAAAACACGCGTGAAATTTAGACGGTCCAGCGACGACGGGTTAATGAAGGTGCGTATGATTATAATTAGGAATTAATCAGATGACGAAAACAGAGGGTTTCGTAGGGGTGGAAGGGGGGGGGGAGGGGGGATAGGTAGAGGGAGGAGAGGGATGAAAGGAGTTCAAGGGGGTAGCAAGGCGGAGGAGGGGGGAGGGGTAAAGGAGGGGAGGGAAAGGAGGAGTGATAAGGAGAAGAGGAAGGGAATGAGATATTGGAGAGGGGAGGTAGAGGGGAAAGGGGGTGAAAGGGAGAGGAGAGGGGAAGAGATAGGTAAAGGGGTGGATAGGAGGAAGGAGAGAAAGAGGTAGGGAAGGGGAGGTAGGAAGAGGGGGGAGGAGAAGGAGAGTTTAGAGGAAGAGAAAGAAGGGGATGAAGTGTAGGGATAAAGGGGTGATGGTGAAATGAGATACTGAAGTGGGCGAGGAAGCAAGGGGAGTAAAGAGGAGGTGTAAATTTAAAAAAAAAGGAAATGGGTGAAGCGAGGGGCGGGGTGGAAGTGAAAGAGTGAAAGTGGAAAGTGAGAGAGAAGTGTGGATGGGGAGAAGGGAAGAGGGGAGGGTGGAAGAGAGGAGGAGAAAAGGGAGAATGAATGGAGCTGCAGAGGGAGAGTATGTGTGGAAATTGTTAAGAGGAAAAGTGCAAGGGGAACGAGGAAGGAAGGGCTAAAGAAGGTAGGAAAGAAGGAGAGAAGGGAAGGAGATGAAAGAACGTAAAAGAGGATTATAGAAGGAAGGATGATAGGGGATGGGAGATGACGGTGGAAGAGAATGAAAGGACGTGTGAAAGGGGACGAGGAAGGAAGAGCGAAAGAAGGTGGGAAAGGAGGAGAGCATGAAAGGGAACGAAAGGACATGTAAAAGAGGAAGGAAGAAGGAAGGATGAAAGACGATGGAATGGGGGGGCGGTGAAGACGGTGGAAGAGGCGAAGGGACGTGTGGAAGGGGAAGGGAGGAAGGGGATGAAAGGAGATTTGGCAAAGTAGTCTTTTTGTTAGCATTCTTTAAACGTCTCTCCTTGCATAGTAATTATTACCTTGTAGCTTCTGATTCCTTTGTTTACTTACCTCATCCTTCTTTCCTCTCTTTTACATGTTTCATTCTCATTTGTCTTCCTATCGGCCTTCCTTTCCTCCTCCCTCTTTTTCAAAATAGGCCAGCCTCTCCCCGGGAGGTCCATTTACTCCCCTCTCCTCAAAATTACTTTCACCGCTAATCTATAACTGTTCTGCTTCCCCTCTTCTGGAAAAAAAATTCTTGCTTCAATTTGTTGCGTGTTCTCCGTTTCCACGTATCCTTCTCGTATCTCCTTCCTTCGCCCTGTTTCTCTTTCCTTTCTCTTTTCCTTTCCAATCCTTGCCATCCCTCTTTCACCTACTTCCCTCGCAGGACCCCTACCCCTCCCCCCCTCTAATCTCTATTCCTCTCTTTTCCTCTTCTCCCTCTCTCTCTCTCTCTCTCTCTAGCTTTCTTCCTTTCCTACACTTCCTCCAATTCCCTTACCCTCTTTCCTTCCTACCCTACCCTCCTACCTTCCTCCCTCCTTTCCCCTCCTTCCTTTCTTTCCTTCTTACCCTCCTACCCACCTCCCTTCTTCCTTCCCTCCTATCAGCCACTCCCTCAACACCCATACCCTCTTTTCCCTTTCCCTCAACCCTTCCTCCCCCGAACCCAAAAACCCTCCTCCCTTGACCACTCCTCCCCATGGACCCTTTCCCAACCCCCCTTACTCCACCCATACCTTCAAAATCCTCTTGGCTTCCTCCCCACCTCCCCCAACCCCTCTTACCCTCCTTTCCAGCTCTCCCAATCCCTCTTACCTTACTCTTACCCTCCCCCAACCCCTCTTACCTTCCTCTTAACCTCCCCCAATCCCCCTACCTTCCTCCTAACCTCCCCAACCCTTCTTACCATCCTTTCCACCTCCCCAACCCCTCCTAC